CATCGTAGATGGCGCTCCTTGTACTATATAACGAATGCATATACTCTGAGAAATGCAAAATCGTCCCACACTATTGGCCTTCTTTAACAAAAGATGATAATAAAAGGTGAGCTTTATGAAAACAAGATTTACGTCACACGTACGGAAGGAGGGGGAGACGATCGCGCCACTGCGATCGCGTGTTCTTAGGTGGCACCGTGCGCCAGAGGCACTCTATAGTACAATAAAAGCTCCTTTCTGGCACGCGCGCCAACACAGGCTCGTCGACAGAGCATAGACAAAGCTGCCCAGTGGCATGCGCGCAGAGCGGCGGCAGCTCACGCTCGAAGAAGCGACCCCGCCGTGTGGGCGCGGGAGGCCGAAGCTAGCCGTGAATGTCGACACCAATCCTGCTCGTCGGCGACCGCAACGTCGGCGTATCAAACGAGCCCTGGTTAATGAAATACATGACGAGCAAGTACGGTCTTCGCTGCGTCTCGTTTGACTACCACGACCACAAGACGATGATCAAGAGGACGTGTATCGACGTCGTTTTCACCAACCGTCAAGATGTTCGACCATTGCAAGAGCCGCTTTCGGTTCACTTCTCGGACCACAAAGCTGTGGTGATTAATGTAAAACGCCGACCGGAATGACTAAACAACCTTTAAAATAAAATTGTTTCAAAATGATAAGTTACTCACGAGTTTCATTGGTGTGTGTGGCGACGTATCTTTTGATACATAAGAGCTTCGCCCTCTCTGCATCATTCACCCCGTGGGTATGCTGTCATTCTTTTTTTCGAGCACGAGGGATCGCGACTTGGCTGCGCGTCACACCGATCCAATTTTCGCCATCTTTCACCTGGCTCGATTGGAGCAGGGACTATTTACTAAAACTGTGTACTTTTTAAAAAAGGCAGACATTTACCTAGAAAAATAATCTCTTAGTTTGAGACAAGGTGAACGAGATAAAGTGGGAATGGGATTAGAGATATTGAAAGGAGAGGAAAGGGACATAGAGTTGCACATCACACAGCTCGTGCACAAGCACCTATACAGTAAGAGTACAATTATCTAGCGTGTAACGCGACATCACTCCCACAGACGCTTAAGCAGGTCCGTCTTCCTCAAAAATTTCTGCAGTGTCTTGATCACCTTCAGCTATGTCCGTTGTCGACTACATGCCCGAACAGATTCAACAGACGTTTCTTTATTGTCACGGCGCACTATAATGGACGCCTGTGATTGTCTCTGCAGATTGTAGACTAGATAGTCACACAGTATGTGGCGTAGCATCGCCTCACAATTACAGGCACCGAAGAGAGCATTGACGGCCATTCCATTGCGGAAGAAATACGATTTCGGAAATACCAAACCTAACCAAAATGATAAAGCAATGTAGCTTCTCTTTAGTGGAGTCCGCTTGGCATACAAAGATACATCAAAAAGCGCAGGTGGAGTTTATGAATGGTCCAGTTGATCTGGCTGTTTGGTTGGTACCATAGAGAAAGCGTTGTGTCCTGTGCAAGCCCTCGAAGGCTACTGGCCGTGTCAGACCTTGAAAGTGGTATGGCACCCTCATGTGTGCTCTCAAGAGCAGCTCAAGCGGCATTATCGGCATGTTCGTTTCCTATGACGACTCAGTGACTTGGAAGCCACTGAAACGTCGCGTGGTGCTCTTTCTGATGTGATGCGTGAATAAGGTGCCAAATTTTAAATACGAGCTGTTCATATGGCCTACGACGCAGTGCTGATAGCACAAATTGTAGGGCTGCCTTGCCTACCTAAATATTCGCACCGCCACGCCTTATCTTACTGAAAAAAGACTGATTTTTCTCTTGTTTTCTTTAAATTAAAGAGAATTCATTTTAAAGGTGACCGTCATAGAAATCACCATTCTACCACTGACCTTGTTGCAGTACCTATTTTACTCATTATTTCAGAAGAAGCCTTGATGCCCATTTAGAGAGACAGGCTGTTTCACTCTTCTTTCCAGATTCCCAAATTCTGAAGCAATAAGCTATGCAGCATAATCGTTTTAAAAAATATTTTATACTTTGCCAGAAAGTGCGTGGCAGCGAAGATCTTTACCATCCGCATTAAGGACAAAAGGTGAAAAAAAAGAAGGAAGGAAAGAAAAAAGAAAGAAAGAAAGATCGACAAAAAGAAAGAAAGCAAGAAAGAAATGGAGAAAGAAAGAAAGAAGGAAACAAAGAAAGAAAGAAAGAAAGAAAGAAAGAAAGAAAGAAAGAAAGAAAGAAAGAAAGAAAGAAAGAAAGAAAGAAAGAAAGAAAGAAAGAAAGAGAAATTCAAGGTATACTGAAAGAAAGAAAGAAAGAAAGAAAGAAAGAAAGAAAGAAAGAAAGAAAGAAAGAAAGAAAGAAAGAAAGAAAGAAAGAAAGAAAGAGAAATTCAAGGTATACTGTAATTTATTTGCCACGTCGCCATCCTCGGCACTCTCGCAATCACTCTCCACTTTATCCGTCCTTATGCCCTCTGATTGGTGCGTGGCTGACACGTGATGATTCACGCTCTATTGGGGATCCAGGCTCTATTGGAACCCCGGTAGGTTCAGATATAAGCCGTATGGGGTAGCACGACGGTCGCATTTTTAGCAGTACGGACCCATAGTCGCCACAAGTAATCAGAGGATGTTCAAGGGAAGCAGGCCCAGAGATAACTCTCCACTTTGGTGTGTGTGTATTGATTCATTGATATGTGGGTTTTAACGTTCCAAAACCCCCATATGATTATAAGAGACGCTGTAGTGGAGGGCTCCAGAAATTCCTACCACCTGGGGTCTTTAACGTGCACCCAAATCTGAACACGTGGGTCCACAGCATTTCCGCCTCCACCGGAAATGCAGCCGGAATTCGATCCCGCGACCTGCGGGTCTGCAGCCGAGTACCTTAGCCACTAGACCACAGCGGCGGGGCGGTGTGTGTGTGTGTGTGTGTGTGTGTGTGTGTGTGTGTGTGTGTGTGTGTGTGTGTGTGTGTGTGTGTGTGTGTGTGTGTGTGTGTGTGTGTGTGCGTGTGTGTGTGTGCGCGTGTGTGTGTGTGTGTGTGTGTGCGTGGAGTTTTTCGTTGTATTTTTATTAAATATATTGGTAGCGCCAGCTGTGATCGACGTGCGAAAGGACAGACGTATCGTTCACGACACCCTACGACAGCGGCGTGCAGTGCGTTTCAATATGTGAAATTTGTTTTCGCGGCACTCCGAATTTTCTCATTTTCGTGTCGAGATCACCCCAAATATCACACTGATGCGTTACAAAACTTTTTTTTTTCAATTCAGCAACAAACGTCCGCCCTGCTGCATTCTATCTACAAATGAACGTCGAAGGCCATTGAGCATTCGTTGTATTGCGTAAGGGGTTTCGATATATATAAGAGCTGATTCTCTGCTCTATTCACAAAAGGTTGCTGCGTTTTAGTTGCTGTCATCCTGTGAAGCAGCAAGAAGCATGATGTGTCTGGCTTGCATTTTTTTCAATATCGCGGCCTACGCGTCTGCTACAGAGGACGCGAGACGCCAAGAGCCCAAGGCTACCCGTTTGAAATGAATGCTGTACCGTGTTGAGCTAGATAGCACATACTATGCATTTTGACACGATTCTCATTAATATTGTAAATCAATCGTTACCCTATGTCTGTATTAGCTCAATACGGAAAGAAATAATGCAATCTAAGTTATAAAGTATAAATTGAAATGAAATGGAAATCTTCATTTTTTGTCTTACAGGACGCACTCAGCGTGCAGCAGGCGTCTCCCATGTAGAGACCGACAGGGAACACCTGGCGGACGCTTCATACTGGATGGCCCATTGCTGGTCGGTGAGAAGTGAGCTTCTGAGGGACCTGTCCCGCTTGTTTGAGCATGAAATGTTACTTTTCCCCCTGCTAAATCGGGAATAGTCTTCAATGTTATTGGAAACGTGTATCAGATGCTATTGAACGCTTACGAGACGCATAATAAAATTCTCTTTTTGCATTAAACTTATTTATTTATCTTTAAAATACTGCAGAGAAGAATTTTAAGCATGGTGAGCAAAATACAGAAAAATAACAGGGAACAAGGTTGCAAAATGTTTGCTACAAAATGTTTTTGGTTGTAAGACAGGGAAAACAACTTAGTCGTGATACAATTCTAAAGAAGCAATAAAGGAACAGAATTTGCACAAATGGTCATGGGCGTTCGGGAATGCCTGCGTTAGTTTATTCCAATCAGCTATAGTTCATAGGAAAATAGAGTAGTGAAGAGTGTCAGTCCTTGCGAAGATTGGCGTTAGAGATTCAGGATAGTGGTGCCGAGTAGGTCTGCTTAATAAGGGGAAAACGTATGCTGCGGTCAACGTTGACTGCGGTGTCCAAGAATAGCCTCTGGTCTACTATGTCAGAAAGAAACTCTAGACGACTTTTTTCTCCGGATTTGTATTATTTCAATATCATTTGCAGTTAGTAGTGCAGTGGAGGAGTCAGTTCACTTAAATTTACTATAAATGAATCGTACTGCTTTCCAATGAATTCTTTTTGGGTTTTGAATGTTATTTTTGTGTGGGGATCCACATTATGTAGGTGTACTCAAGTTTTGGCCTAATTAAGGAAAAGTAAGACAGGAGTTTAACACTAGGCCAGGCGAGGTAAATGACGCCAAACGCGTGAGCAGGTGTCTTCACTAAATCAATCTGATGTCTTTGCATCGTAGATGGTGCTCTTTGACCCCCAAATTACTTTGTGATGATGCTGACATGAATAACCTCTCCAACTAACGGCTTAAGTTCACACCAGGGGATGCGCGCAATAGCGAAGTCACAAAAGGTAATTGAATATATATGTTTATTGATATTTGTGATTACGTTAGCCTTTTAACACTGTGATTTGATCACAGCACTCCCGATGGCTGGATGCATGCTAAATATTATCTTCACCTAATTCAAAGTAATGTCACATGACTGCGCGTTGAAAATAAGTAAAGTGAAACTACAACTCATGTGTCATACATTTTGGCAATACTCACGAGTTAATTTCTGGGTAGATCTCGGTGAGGATGTTGTATGTCTGGTACGGCAGCCAGCACAGAGCGAAGATGGCTACCACAATGAACATCATCTTGGTCACCTGAAAAGAAGTAACAAATAATGATGTTCGTTAGAAGCCGGGTATTGCGCTCACCGCAACTCGTTCTGCATTCGTTTTTTTTTTTTCAAGAAACAAACACTTCAGCATCTAGCTCACACCAGAAGGCAGGGACTAAGTGAAAATCAACGAACATGAATATCCCTACCCAATCTGCCTATACGAATATCCCCACCAAAACCTTCATACTGAACGCAAACATAATCACGGCCTACGTATAAGCAGTGTCCGATATTCACCATTGAATGTTTTGGGGGTGCTATTAATCCCTGCAAAGCAATTTTCGCCGTATAGCACCCACGTGTCTCAGCGTAAGTAAACTTCACGGCGTGTGATAGATGACGCTGTCGTCACGCCGTCGTGCCACCTAACGGAGAGCGAGATTATGGCAGCAGCACCAGCGACAGTGCAACAATACATCGTTCCTGGGCTTACCCACGATACTGCGCAGTTATTGGAGCTTCGAAGCATTTGACAAGGATCCGTGCACGCCAGCCACTTTATCATAGAAGCAAGCATGCGGCACTGTCATCGTCGACACATATGGAACTATGGTCATCAATCTGCCTTCGCATTGCGGGGATAGTTACACTGGTGCTCCGCTAGAGGGCTTCAGATCGGCTGCCATCATCATATAAAAAACCGAGGCTCATGGTTGGACACCATTGGTAGCAGCGACTGGATAACAGCACATTGTTCCTGGACTTACGCGCGAATCTTTACTGCGCAATTATCCGAGTTTCAATGCATTCGACATGGACTTGTGGATGCCAGCCGATTGATCATGGAAGCAAGCCTGTTGCACTGTCATCGACGACACGTGTGGAACTGCAATGATCAATCTGCCTTTGAATTGCGGGGATAGTTACAATGGTGCTCCGCTAGAAGGCTTCACATCGGCTGCCATCATCAGATATCAGATATAAAGAAATCGAGGCTCCCGGTTACACACCAGTGGCAGCAGCGACAGTGCAACAACACATCGTTCCTGGACTTATGCATGATTATTTACGGCACAGGTTGGTAACAATAACCCACTTTTCTTGCGTATCCACTGACGTTGTACTGTCATTGCTGCCATATTTTTTGCTTGTCATTTTCGGCGGCTGGTCGTATTGTGTATATCCGTACTGCCTTCCTGGATTCTGCCCAGTGCTTACTCCTGCTGAGTTGAGCAAAAAAATTCGTGAACGTGAAGCCAGACTGAAGGACTGTCTTGATAATTTCCTTGGTGCTGTCTTCAAAAAGTTCATCGTCAGAGCAAAGCTATCAGGCGTAAACTTCGCTGACATCAAAAACATATGAGTGAGCTGGTAGCTAGCGCCGAGTACGTTAATAGTGACGTGTAAAGTTTGTTGAAGAATAGCGCCTCTCTGATTGCGGAGAACAAGGCGTTAACAGCACAAAATTCGGAACTATTTTTAAAGTATGACAAATTGAGCAATATTCAAGAATTAAAAACGTCGAAAGCAAGGAAATCCTGTTGACAGAAGGTGAATACTGCGTTGCGATCATGCAGACTATAGATGACTATAGGCTGGCACCCAGTGATCGTGACGTTGCTCACAGTATCATGACCGGGAAATCTGGCGCAAAGAATTGGCTAGCCCGCTTCTGTTTTCGTATGCAAAAAAAAAAATTTGTAAGCAAGGCTCGGAAGGCCCAACTGTACCTAAAGGACATTGAATTATCCGGAGTCGCAAACAACCCAGTCTACATTAACGATTACCTCACACCCCAAAAATAAGGGACTATTTTATCTGGTACTAGTTCTAAAGAACGTCAACAAGTATAAATTTTTATGGACAGGCAACTGTCATATAAATGCCAAAAGGACGACAGAGAGCAAGGTGCTGAGCATCACTTGTGAAGCCAATCTATCCAAAATCTGCTAGAACGTCACATTAAATTCTACTTTACTCCTTTGTTGCACTTAGGTTGATTCACTTATGGCTGCTTGTTTTTTCACAGACAATCTCAGCAGGTTTCTTTCGCCTGTTTTCCACTCTGCGATTCATATTATTGCAAAAAGCATCCGGAAACACTTTGATGATATACTACATACTGCGTTTATCTGTTCTTGACAATCCTTCTTTACTTAATGTTTATTTATTTATTTATTTATTTATTTAAATAAATAAATAAATAAATAAATAAATAGTATCTCTGAAACATGGCTTAGCGACTGGCTGGCTTAGCGACTGAAACCTGGCTTAGCCTTCTCTACCCCTGCGCACATGCACCCTACCAACCCTCGACGTTAAGTCGCCGCACCCTTCGATTTCTATTCGTCATCATCTTACGAGCCTCTCACTCGCACCCCTTTGCCTGGTCGCCGCTACACTGACACCCCTTCATCCGGTCGCCGCTACACTGCCGATTCCGCTCTCCGCCACCTCGGCACTTTTCCTCGCCGAGCTTCTCTGTACTATCGCAGCGGAAAAACTAGATATTGCAGCTTATTGAGGTGAAGCTGCAATACCAATGATGGCCGAAAATTATCTACTGACACTTCCCACGCACCCCAGCCTGCTTAAAGTACAAGTCAGCCATGTTCCTGTAACCACCCTCATTGACACAGGTGTGCATCTGTCTGTTATGAACGCTTCTCCACGCCGCCGCTTGCAAAATATTATGACGCTATCTACGACGCAGACAATACGTGTTGTCGATGGCAGTACTGTACCAGTAATCGGAATGTGCACTGTTTGTGTCAGCATTGCCGCTCGTCACGCCGTGGTCCTGTGTACCGTGCTAGCTTGTTGCCCTCATGACCTCATACTTGGCCTTGGTTTCCTTTCGGCACACTCGGCCTTAATAAACTGTCTTCTTCTGGTACCCTCAGCCTCAATCTTCCAATCTTTGCAGAGTACTCTGCAAAGCCCTCCAGCTGCTTGACCCCAACCACTTTCGTTCGTCAGTCCCCTAGAGCCATCACATACGTGTCTTTGTCATTAGCCCCTCCCGTTCCTTATGGTGATTACATCGTTACGCCGATTACTGACGTTGGGCTGACGTGCAGTGTTACTGTGCCCCATACCATCGCCACCATAGCGTATAACTGTGTGCTCCTTCCACTCCTTAACTTTGGCTTCACCCCTCAAGTGTTGCCCTGCCAGATGTCTCTAGCCCAGCTAACTGCCATAACAGACAACGATGTCAGCGTTGTCACTGTATCCAATCCTGATCAAAGTGCAGTCCCATGGTCACCCAGCTCGGACATACTATTTTTCGAACCAAGATCGGATCGTACCTTTCGCCTCACCAGGTCGACGCTCTCTGCCAGGTTTTAACCTCGTACAGTGACATTTTCGACATCCATGATCGTCCCTTGGGCCAGACTAAGATTGTCACTCACTGAATCAACACTCGTGACTCTGCGCCCATTCACCGTCGGCCATACCACGCGTCGGCAACCGAGCGAGAAGTGATTCAAAAAGTAGTGGCTAAAATGCTTATGAATTTGATTTGATTGATTTGTGGGGTTTAGCGTTCCAAAACCACCATATGATTATGAGAGACGCCGTAGTGGAGGGCTCCGGAAATTTCGACCACCTGGGGTTCTTTAACGTGCACCCAAATCTGATAAAATGCTTATGAAAAACACAATCGAACCATCATCGGACCCTTGGGCATCTCCCGTGGTATCAATAAAGAAAGACGACACGCAGCGTTTTTGCTTTGATTATCGCCGCCTCAGTGAAACTACCAAAAAATACGTGTACCCTCTACCACTCATTGACGATGCCCTCGATTGGCTCCATGGCGCCACCTTTGTTCATCTCTCGACCTCCATCCTGGCTACTAGCAAATTGCTATAGATGACATGGATCGAGGGAAGACCGCCATGGATCGAGGGAAGACCGCCTATGTTACCCCTGAAGGTCTTTACCAAATTCAAAATCATGCCCTTCGGTCTCTGCAACGCTTTAGCGACCTTCGAGAGAATGATGGACACGCTCCTTCAAGGATTCGAATGGTCGACATGTTTGTGTTACCTGGACGACGTGATCATCTTCTCGCCTACCTTCGCAACCCACCTTGAATACCTTTCGACCATTCTATCCATATTCCGACGGGCAGGCCTGCAGCTATATTCCTCCAATGCCACGTCGGTCTTCGTCAGATTACCGCGTTCGGTCACCTTGTTGACGCTGCCGTCATCGACCGGACCCGGCGAAAGTATGCGCTGTGAAGAACTTTCCACTTTCATGCTCCGTCCATGATGTTCGCTGATTTGTGGGCCTCTGCTCCTACTTTCGCCAGTTTGTGAAAACCTTTTAGGCACTCGCACGGCCACTCACCAACCTTCTCAAACAAGACGTCCCATTTTGTTGGTGCCTCTTCAAGCTGACGCCTTCTCACAAATAATCACCGCTCTAATGACACCTCCTATTCTTCCACATTTCGACCCCGATGCTCCTACAGAAGTGCGCGCAGGCTCGAGTGGTCACAGCATTGGGGCAGTTTTGGCGCAAATTCAGCGGGGCAACGACTGTGTAATGCGTATGCAAGCCGTCTGATTTCAAAGTCTGAACGCAATTACTTTATAACCGAACGGGATGTCTCGCTCTTGCTTTGGTCATCACAAATGATCACGCGCTGTCTTGGCTTTCTTCTCTGGAGGACCCCACTGGACGACTTGGCCGTTGGGCGCTACACCTACAGGAATATTCCTGCTTGTTGCTTACAAGTCTGGACGTCTCCATCTGGAGGCCGACTGCTTATACCGCTACCCTGTTGATCAGCCCGACGAATCGGACATCAAGCCGAGCCTGAGCGTCATGTCACTGTCTCAGTTTCTTCAGATATATGATGAACAACTTCGTGATCCTTCCCTGCAATTTATTGACCGTCTTGAATCTGCTCCGAACAACGCGACGCGTCGCATGTACGTCCTCCTGAATGGCACGCTGTACCGTCGTAGCCTTCAGCCAGATGGCTCTTAGCTCTTTCTTGTTGTGCCGAAACATTTGCGTTCA